GGAGCATATAAAATTATATCACTTTGTAACTTGTAATATGTGAGAAATAGAGGAATTTCTTGGTTTTGAATGAATATATATGGAATATCAAACTGCGCAAATTCAAGAAAGAATAATTCCCCTCCTGGGAAGAGGCTACAGTACCTGAGATATGAAGCCACTTCATATTTCGAGAGCTCCGTATCAATCTGAATCATAACAAGCTTCGCCCAGATATTTTATTTTAGCACAATAGCAAGGACTGGGTTCATTTAGTAGTGTTGAATCCAAGAAATTGATCCACCAGCGTCGCCACTGAATTAGCTAAACTATCCGCCGCTTCTTGGGAGATCGCTTCAGCGTACACTCTTATCACGTCCTCTGTTCCTGAAGGCCGTATAAAACATCGGCCATGTGGGTATTTAGCTGAGATACAAGGAATAAAATGAAAAGTTTATGTTACCAATGAATAATCGGAAAAACAAGGGATATAAATGCCTAAATGCATACACAGCAGGATCCAAACAGCTCCCAGAATAATAACAGAAGTAATGAAGGCATCCTCTTAACAAGTTATGAACTTGAGTTTGCTCTCAATCTCAATAATTAATGGGTATTAATTGCATCAAATGTTAATAAAATCTATGAGGTTTACGCTTTAGCATCAATTATACTTGGCCATGAGAATTGGGGTTGGCAATCAGAAAACTTATGCTTGCTACAATCGCCCCATTTTCGCTATGCGATAAGTTTTTACTGCATGCAACATTGTTCATAATTTTCCTCTGGAATGGCCCATTTTCACTTGCCTTTATTTTAAAGAGATCTATCCCTTACAATTTTTTAGTTCATTAGCACCACATCCAGAAAGACCTCGCTAGCCCTTAATTTACAAGGAAGAAAATTCACTAGACAAATTTTATCATCTATGCCACATCAAAAAGCCCTTTCAAAGCCAACAAAAGTTCTGACAAGTTTACTGCTGCGATAAGTCAAGAAATATCTATTGCCAATTCAGGGGAGAATTTAAAGAATTCTACATATGCCTTGCTCTATACATGTCCATAAATAAATTAACTAGGGAAAAACATATTGTGTTGCAATGAAGCTATTTCTTTATTGAAACAAAACAACACATGACTGCAGTTTATTATTCAAACTATAAAATGCAGTATCAGATATTAATTTACATGCAAGAATTTAAGGGTAAATCAAGATCAAAGATACATAGATCAATTATAGTTTTTATGAATTTGGCATATTGAGGAACATGATATCAAAGCTACTTCAATTTGCTCATCTGAAACTAGATTTCAGTTGGCACCAGCTAGTACTGAGGACCTTCCTCATAACACACAGAACATTAAAAATGGAGGCCAAAAAAGAATGCAGGGCTTCCTAAGCTCATGAAACCCACCAATGGGCTACCTTAAGAAACTACCCAACGAAATTTCAGGCACAAGATGGTCAGATATAACATCTCACTGTTAATTGCCTATTATTTGCATTCTAAGAGCATTACTACGTTCATCATCATGTCAAGCTATATCATACTTCTTGAAATTTCTTAGTTCAGTGGAAGTCATTGAAATGCTTGTAGTACACAATGTCAGTTGAATAAGTGGCTCCATTTCCAGGGTATTTAAAGCGCAATTGGGTTCACTCTGACATCTGTATATGCCAACTGGAGTGAACCTACAGAGCGTTGAAGTGATCAAGCAACCTTCAGTATGTATTTGTCTCGAATTTTTATTACTAGTCGTTAGATTAAAAATAGGGCTTCAATGCGCTATTATTAAAGTCTAATGACCTTATTATGTTATTGACCTAGCTAAATGACCTTATTGATTGCTAGTCAATAGTTTGAGGACCTGAGTGACGAGTTAATTTGGAAGTTAGATGAAATCATGTGTAAAATATAGGTAAATATGTCAATTAGCCATCATTAAAGATGATTTATTTGACCACATACATTATTCACCACATTTTAAGCAATATAATTGATTTGACCACATAAATAAAGGTAATTGATTTGACCACATGTATTATTTACACCTAAATTCAAGCCAAGACAATTGATTTAATCACATGATTAAAGGTACTGATTTGACAATTTTCAAGAAAATGCACCAATTATGCATTGACCATGTCTAACATCTAACCATTTCCTTCCAATTTTCTACACATGGTCCAAAAATTTGCACTATAAATAGGAGATAAACTTAACATTGGACTATCCCTCACCAACAATTTACAATCTCCCTCAGTATCTCTATCACTTTGTCTTTACACCTTCACTCTTTCTCTTGTCCTTTTCATATTAAATATAGTCATACATTACACAATCATACACGCAGCTCAAGGATCTCCTTCCAACAATCACTTCTTCTATTATTTTGAATTGTCAAGTGAAAGGTAGGTGTAGTGGTACAAATTGTTCTTTCATTATTTAAATTATGAAAATTTATGTTATGAATATGATGATACGGAAATCCAAGTTATGTTTATGATAAGGGTGCCATATGTGTACGTTCAAAAAATTGGAGTTTAGTAGCACAACGCACGGGAATCATAGCCACGAAGTTCGGATTTTAATTCCCATGCTTCCATTTGTAATGATTTTCTGTATTTAAATATGAGATTGCAAATTCATTATTACTCATTTATTGAAATCTATGCCTCACATATATACGTTAAATATTTTATAGGTAACTAAAAAGATGGGTTCGAGGCGATTGAAGATGGATTGTGCTTACGTAGTTGAAAAATGAAGAACAATTTAAGTAGTTAAAGATTTTAATGATATTTGTTGTATTCTTTTAAATTAATTTTAATCCTTGCATGTTAAGAAGATATTATGTTTTTCATTATTAATGAAAGTATTCTTTTACGGTCTATGTATATAATGATTCCAAATGTAAAAATTTGGGTCGTTACACAGTATGTGCATTTTTGGTAAATCTTAAGGAATGTTCTCTTTGCCTTCTGCTTTCCAAGTTTTCCCTTTCTCTTCTATTTTCATTGAACATGGGGATAAAGGGCATTTCATCTCCTGTGTCACAGTAGTTTATCATTGGGCACTTCACTAAAACTTTGATCCCTCAAGAATAAAGTACAACCAGAGGCAAACTTCGGCAAGTCTAGTATTACTAGAACAGACGACACTCTAAGAACAATCAGTTGAGCTTCCCTTTCTAATTAACAACAGGAGACACTCTAATAACCATTACTACATAAACTAGTGATTCAAATAATTGAGTAACTTCTAAACAAACCTTCATTCCACGTCCCAAAGTTAATCTTTCTAGTACTCAATGATTAATGGTTGTTCCAAACAGATATTATATTCACAGATTAATATGAAAATATGTTTGTAAATGTAGTATTTACAATCAAGTGTGACCCAAATTCTACTAATTGATAACATTTCCAAAAGCATCTTCATTCCATGTCCCAAAAATATTAGTTTCTAGTTCTCAATGACTAAAATTTGATTGTTTTTCCTAAAAGATGAACATATTAGATTGTAATTCTAAAAGTTATAAAGTGTGATGCTAGGGACACCAAAAGTCGATACATTTGGAGAAAAATTCTCAAAGATTTGGAGATTATGTGCTCCATAAGGCTTGGTAGTTGGTACACGTACAATACTAATTAGTCCAAAAAGTGAATTGTTTCGGAGGAAAAAGTCTCAGTAACTTACCCCTTTATCATCTTGAAAAACTTCCCATGAAAGTCTAAATGCTACTTTGGGAAAACTATAAGATGCTGAAAATATAAATTGCTAGTAATGAGTGATAGATAAGTGGGTTGTAGTTGTGGCTCCTACAAAATACGTAGTTAAAGTCAAACTATATGTAGTTAAATTAAAATTTGACTTTGACTCATAATTTGTCAGGAGATTATAGTGTAAAACAAAGAAGCTCAAAACTGAACTTGTAGGAATCTAGAAGATGTTTCAAGTCTAAAGTTCAAATTTTACACTATATAGTTTTTGGATCAAATTATAGGTCCAGTCCAATGGCTAGTCCTTTTTGAAGACCAGAACAGTAACATAACTGAAATCAAAGCACAGATTTTGTCTGTGAATAAACCAGAATATAAGCCAGACCGGTTGTGCATTCGTTTGTACCATGTATGCATAAAAAAAAAAAAAATTAAAACATTAATAAACATTAAACTAGCCTAGCAGAGAGAGCGTTGGCTTGAGTGCTTCCTGAAAAGATTCACACGCTAGAGACGTGCAACAGGACTTCTAAATCATCTGAATTCATAACTTATTGTCACATGGATGAAGTGCTTCTTGCCTTTATAAATTGAATTGATTAAGACCGAAAATAATTCACAAAACTAAAGAATGTATCGGGTTCCATGGACAGAGTAAGCAAGGCAGGTTGTTGTATAGCACTGAATGAACTTACCTGTTTCAGCATTAATGGCTTCTTGTATACCAATGGGCCTCACGACCACAGTTTCTGCATTTGCAGTAATCACTGCAGTTCTGTCAACGACCTTTACCTGAAGATAGAGTGATGTAAAGAGATAACTTCTCAACAGCGTGATAACCAGGAGGTTATGTTGTAAGAAAGCAAAATAAATGGAGTTACAGTTTTTTCAAGGTTTATGAAAGTCAATAGACAATTTTTTCTATCAGAAATATGTTACCACATTCAAATTACAATATTATTAAGCCAAGTTCATAATACTAAAGCATTGAGAAGTTCAAACAAAATTTATTGTTTCATAAAGATCACAATTTATTTCTCAAATCCAATAATCAACTTTACAATAAAAGATCACATTGCAATCACCGCCATAAAATTTCAACAAGGTTCCTTCATCACTTGTTGCTTCAAAACAAGATTCTAGAAGGCTTAGAACTGACAGGTTTCATTTATATTTTCTGTTTGTGTGCACGCGCGTCTGCGCGAGCCCATCTTTGGTTTTACTCTTTTAACTTCTCAACTTTTTAGCTTTCTGTCCCCTCCTCATTTATATTGTGCAAACATTGTTGACATATTCCTTCAGTAAATTATCTTCAGCTGCACCTGCATTACTTTCCACACTAACCTTAAAAACGACTATTCAACAGTGGCCCTCAATATACTCACCAATGTACCCAGAGATAAAGTGGCTTGAAAATGCTATTGGAAAGATTTAGTCAAATAAAGAGCTTTAGTCTACCTAGGAGATTATAAAGGAAACACTAAACTTATTTGGAACGATAAAGGTTTCACCTCAAGGCAGGCAGTTCATGTGACTAGACACCAGCTGCACAAATTCATTCCAGCAGATATCAATGGTAGAACCATAAATTTTAAGCAAGTGTATGAGCAAAAATGTTAGAATATAAGAAAACATTCTAAATGCCACACAGGCACTTTGGAAACTTGGTTGTATAATCATTGTCAGTGATATCGAGTAACATTTCCATTTTTTTACAAAAATAAAAGTACAAGTAGTCTCTAAGAAACTTGTGATAACTATTTAGATACTGTCTACCTACACCATATAAAAAACTGTTAGCAAACCACAGCCTGACCTTAAGTTGTCTGCTGGGTAAATCGTGGTAAAGCTCATTCCATTTGAACATGGACCATCCCATATGTTTTAAGATAGCCTCCACTAGAAGCAACCCACTAAATGAATCTCCCACAGCCTGATTGATTAACTTACTGACAGCTAATAGTCTCAAGGCAGCCTCTTGTTGTTCTGAACCTGGAGCAATCAGCCAATAAAATGAGTTCTATTGCAAGCAAGATCATCATAATAAAATATAAGAAGTGGATCCAGTTTACATTTTGACGTTGACGTCAGCTCATTGTTTCGACCCTCTAACCAGCACAAGAAACTTTCTGAAAACAGGATCGTTCCATGTCCATTTGCCTCAAAATAGATACCAATATCATACTCAGAAGCTTTTTCATGCAGGTATTTGACTCCTGTTGGAGTAAACACAACTTCCAGGCCCAACTGCTTTAGGTAATAAGTGGATGCACCATTAGCATAAGCTGTCTGCACCACACCAAGACGAGCTTGATAAGACTCATTTACTTTTCCATCTTCTCCAGTGAGAATATTTAATTGTTCCTTGATAAATAAAGCAAACAAAGACAATATCTTGTCCCCGTCGACAAGGACAATTTTGTTGCTATTTAATTCAATAGAAAAATATACAAGTCGATCAGCATCTCCATCCAAACTAGCACACCTGAAATACTAGAACCATCGCAGTAGTTAGATCCCGTTTCCGTCTACTACAGGGAAATAGAATGATCGCCAAACAGAAAATTTCAAAGATACAAAAAGATCACATATGTAGACTTTAAGGATCGCATATGCCAGCTTCAAATTTTTCTGTTGTCTCAGAAAAACCAAAATTAAAAGAACATTCTTCAATAACTTCAAAACTAAATGCAGTGTGTAAAGTAGTATCAGCAGCAGTAAATAAAGGAAATGAAAATTATATAGACCAATTAGCAATACTTGTACAGGTCCACGCACACATAATTTAATGTAGTGGGAGCTGATTCTCATTTATAAGGGACAAACAAGATATTCTGACATGTTAACAAGAGAAAAATATATAAGTATCAAAGAGCCAGTTAGTCCTACTTAAGCATGCAAATGGCACAAAAAAACAGAATTGTACTTTCTTTCATGAAGTATCACATTGAATGTATTAATTGGCAGACAATGGGGCACAGACCCCTTCTCTATCTTTGGAGGACAAGAACTGATATATGACCAATTCGAATCTACAACAGATGTGTGAATGGGAATGCAGTCACATTTAGTTTACACAAATAGGTGTACCTCAAAAACAATAGGTCCACGAATTTAATTTGAAATCAAGAATCAATAGGAAGACAGACTTGTCAAAAAGAAGGGGGAAAAAAAGAATCGGCAGGAATCTCACCTAAACCCAACATCAGCAGGGCCAAAACTGCGTGGAATAATCTTTTCCTTTTGCACAAAGTCGGCACCAACACCCTCATTGAGTACACCATCACCACGATTACGAACATCGATGCTCAAATCACTCAACAATTTCTTCAAAATTTCTAGCTTTTCTCCACCCACACCATCTGCTCCATCAACAATTACTTTGTCATTCACATTGAAATTTCTGTTTCCTTTGGGAATATATTCCATCAAGCACCTGGCCAATTATATAAACATCCAAATGCATATTTGTAAACAATTTTATCTAGTAGGCCATGTAACTTGAAAAATGAGACTTCTTTAAACCTGATACTCACTAACCTGAAAGAAGTTGAAAGCTGGTCATAGTAATTGTTTTCAGATGCTTCCATGCCTTTGTTTCTAGAACGAACCATCCAATGCAGTTGAGGGGTTGTCATGACTCCCATATCAGTGGCATTGACTCCCATAATCGAAGTTATTCCCTTGAAGTGTTAACCAGCATAAGTACATCATTCATTTTACACAACAAAGACAAGAACCTAATTTATTTAAAAATAATAATAATAATAAATATACATACATATATATATATATATATATATATAGAGAGAGAGAGAGAGAGGAGATAGAGGAGATAGAGCGAGAGAGAGAGAGAAAAGAAAAGGATTATTCTTATCTACAAAACTACAAATAAATCTCTGGCACTTGCAGGTCCCATGTCAGATGACTACAGGCACTAATTTTAAGATGAATCTTATGACATGAGATTGCTTCTCTTGAAGGATTATTATAAGTGCAAGAAAATTGCATCCAGGATATAAGTGTGTAAGAGAGAGCACTTTCAAATAGCTCCATGCTTTGAAGACGCAAAACTTTTAGCTCCAGATAGACTCAATACTCATATCAGACAATTCCTATGAATTAACATTATGATACTAAACACATAGATAAGGCAATGGCAGAAGTTAAGGGTACCCATACTTGTTTCGCAGCCTCAGCAAGAAATTCACCACTGGGCCTAGTGTCCCTTCCCAAAAGTACCTCTCCCTCAGAGGCTCCTTCAAGTGGGATCTTTTCCTTCTTCGCAAAATCATCTATCAACTGTTTCAATAGTCAAAAACTTCTTATTGTGAAGCAAAATTTACTGGCCAATAAAATTCTCTCAAAAAATGAAATTCACCAGAATCAATCATCATAAATGAAACTTCATTCATGTTCAAAATGTCCTAATGGTGTTCCATCCTAATGGTGTTCCAAACCATAAATGTGAACATATATTGTGCCATGTCAGACATGTCGAATACCAACAGGCCTACACGCGTGTGTGAAAACATATTTAACTATAAAATATTGCCAATATATAAACATGGCTCAAAGACATCTCGATCAGTAATGGATACCTTTAAGATACTTATCTATATAAGGGATGTAAATATGCCAAGCCGAGCTGGCCCATGCTCACTATGGGGGGGCTCACTGGGCAAAGTGCCCACCAAGAGCCAAACCACTAGCCTTTTTTTTTTTTTTTTTAATTGAAAAAACAAAAAATCAAAAATTTGAAATTCAACTGCCTGAATTCGACATGATAGCACCTGGCACTTCATGTCATGCACCTATGGCTTCAAAAATCAGCCTATAGGCTGAAAAAGTCATTTAAAGGCCCTAGCTGAGCTACGCGAACCAAATAGCTAGCCTTGCAACTGGCTCACATGCGAAAATCAAGGCTCAACTTACCCCACGACTCACTTCAGAGAGAGCTGACGAAAGGCCCACCACATTTCCCAATTCTATCTATATTACTAAGAGTCAAACATAAGTTTGACTTTACAAGACTTTGTGTATATGTAAAATAGTATTTACTATAAATGAGTAACTAAAAATTAGCTTAAAATCCCATCAAGAGAAATTATCTTTACTACCGTGACTATCATAAGCTATATTCACAAATTATGCACAAAGGGAATGAAAGCCAAACATTTTTTTTTCCATTTGTGCATAAGTACAGATCTCCTCCTATCTTTCGCCAATTTTTTTCTCACACTGCAAGAGTTAAAACAAGTATTTCTAAAAACATATAAGATAGCAAATAACTAAAAATGCAACCTTTTAGGAAACTCAACTTCATTAGTGCTGAAGTATGTATACCTGGAGAAGGGTATTGGGATCCCCTGCATTGGAAAGGGTGTCAGCAAAGGGTTCCCAGTGTTGCGAGAGCATTCCGCCCGAGGGGTCTGCCACTTTAACGCCATTATCCGAAGCCTGGTTATGGGAGGCCGTGATCATGAGGCCAACAACTGACCGAGTCTGTACAGACCTCAATGCCGCCAATATCCCTACTCGGAACACCGTCGACTCAAGCAGCGACGCATCGGCCCGGAACCCCGCGGTACCATAAGACAGCTTCACCCCTAAATCAAAATGCAGAACATAGAAAATCAAGAACTAATTTCAAACTGCTTCTACCCAAAATCAACGAATAATTTAGACTTCTGGGAGTGATTCAATCAGATTTGAAAGGGAAAAGTAATACTGTAATATATTGTTGTACCTGGTGGTAGGGGGAAGCAAGAAGCGGAGTGGAGAAGGATCGATCGTTGTTGTTCATTCATTTGCTTCCTAGTTTGATTTACGTCAAGTTTTATATACGGACGAACCTTGGGACTGGCTGAGAAATGGGACGAAGTACAGGAAGGGGAAAAGGGTGCCGGAGGGATGTTGGGGAATTGTCCCCCTATTGACTGGGCCACGTCCATCTAATTAGGTTCGTTAATTTTAAATCGTCACTTTTTCCTTGGAACAAATAGCAATATTTTTAACCGCCAGGCACATTCCAACTGGTAAAGATGAGAATGCTTCAAGGCTGACAGTTTAGAGATCGTGGGTTCGATTCTTGAAAGGCAGATATTCTCCTGGAGGCAGGAACTCTACTGGAAGATAAGGTGCAAAGATAGAAAAACGACTTATTTGGCACTTTGACGGATTAGTGGGGGGCTCTTGAACATTGATCAGTTTGGGGCACAACCTGCGATTTAACCTATCTGCAATTTGAGGGGTCAAAGTGTAGACTCCAGAATTTAGTCACTATAAGATGGACGCCTAGATATCAAAAAATAATAATAATAAAATAAAATAGCAATATTTTTATCTCCAAAAAATGAATTCTCCCTTCATGTAATATTTTAATATATTATGGATATCTCAAAGTTGCGTTAAAAAAATTTTGAGTTATTATTGAACTTTCTCAAACATTTTTAAGTAATGTTAAATTTTCAACAGTCTAAAATCATCATTCAACTTATTAAGATTTTATTTCATTCGTGGTTTTGTCCCTCATCATTTTAAAGTTAACGGACTAGAAAACTTTAAAATGATAAATAAAATAACATTTTAGTAAATTAGTGACTACTTGAATAACTTGAAAAGTTTGATGGTAACTCGAAAGTGTTTAATGACACTTGGAGAACTTTTAAAGTTAGATGATACGTGAGAATCATTTAAGAAAATATAATTATAAATGAAATATTATACCTTCAAAGTACAACCATTTTTTCGTTCTTGTCTTGTCCTTAATTTTCCATTTAATTTTTTCGTTACTATCTTATTTTCATGAATTAGTTCACCAATTTTCGTCTTTAACTCTAACGTGCACATGATTTTTTAGTAGAAAGCAAAATTGTGAGGCATTTAAAATTTACATTAACTGTGCTTCACGTAATTGTATGTGCCAAGGGCAGTTGGCCCCGCGATAGGTGGGGGAGAATACAGGTGTACGTGTGAGTACTTTTAAAAAAGGTTCGATCAAACTATTCAATTTTCACCTTTACTTTTTAATAATTGAATGTTTGTACAATGGCCTTTTGAATAATAAAAGACAAAGATGCCATGTTTGAAAGATAATACTATCATTTTTAGTTAACAAGTGAAAATTTCTTTTCACATAAATTTTTGAAATCAGCTGATTTTCTTATCTGTTTATTCCAACACTGATAAAAACTTTCTCATCTTCCATCTTCTTCAACTTCAACATCTGAGAATTTTTCAAATGCTGAAGAGGAAAATATTTTTTATATCAATCATTTCGAATCAGTAATTATATTTACGTATTTTTATTTCGTTTTCGTTAAATTAATATACATTTTTAATCGATAAATCTTATTTCGATATAGATTAAAATGTAGATAAATATTTTAATAGATATAGAATTTTTTAAGCATGAATAAAAAATCATTTGCATAATGAATTTTTTTAGGCCAGAGCACAACACAGCCAATCGTTACAGTCTGATACAGCCGGCTATAATTTTTTTCATAAATTTATGTTGCCACTATGGTTCAGCTGAATTTCTGACTATTTTTTCTTATAATTAAAAACTCTGTTTTGTCATACAGATACGGTTATAGTCTCGATTTGTTACTTTTGTAATTTCGAATTAAATGAAAAGGATAATGAATGTGGAAATGGACGAGTGACATACTTGGTAGTATTCCAATTTCCATAACAAAGAGTACATCGTACGCAGGAATGTACCATGACTTGCAAAATAAACTGAATGTCGATTCCTCTTAGTGTGATATGCAACTGATATTTCTATTCAACAAGCATTCATCTATTCTGATTCCACCTATGAAGGTTACTTGCTTGCTTTTTATGCGAAAGTGAATTATCTATTTGAATTGAACAAAATGCACACAACTCCTCTTTGTATTACTTTATTGAAGAAGGATGTCATCAAAAGTAAACACGAAGATTCAAATGGAGCTAATGACAATGTCAATGGTTTTTGGGACACAATGGAGATAGTTTGCGAGGATAATATGGTTATTCCCGAAACAGTTACTCCTCATTGTAATCTCACTATTACGCACGGAATTTCGTCGGTAGTTCACGACAACAAGAATGAAAATGAATTTACAAATGAGGATTTGACTACTTTATCTCGTCAAAGACATGAGCGGTGTGGGAGCTCAGTGGTTGGATCGAGTGGACTCCCTGTAAGCGACTAAAATGGACACAAATAAGTTATTTGTGGTTCACAAGTATACATTTGCAAAGTGGGAATTTCTCAAAACAATCACAGCAAATTCGAGCGTGGTTTATTGGTCAACAGATAATGCACAAGTATCAAGGTCCACGAATGATCTACAAACCTTCAAACATCATTAACAACGTCCATGTCGAGAGTATGGAGGGGTCATAAGCTATTAAAAGGCCTGGAAAAGCCAAAGAATGGTTGTTGGAGGATGTAATGAGCTCGACTGATGAGAGTTATGCTAAATTGGCAAGAGGTTGCCATAACATGAGAAAACTAATCCTAACTTGATATTTTTTATTGAGATATAGGATATCGATATAACATAATGACGTCAAATAACGTAGAGGCTCTCAGTGTATTGTTCAAGAATGATTGAAAGTTACCAATTCTCGAATGACTGAAAATATTCGTAACAAGCTACAACAGTGATTTTACGATTGATGTGCAGATTCACAGAGTCGCACAAGTATGTTAGCCCCCGACTTAAAACGATAAATTCTTCAAGCTGTAGAGGATGCAAGAAAATTGAATGTAAAACCACTAGATGACTTCTGCTTCTCCGTAAAACGTGCATGTAATACAGTATACATGGTAGACTTAACTATAAGACATGTACATGTAGTCGATTTCAATTGGATAATTTTTCATATGAGCATGCAATCGCGGTAGCTATGTATCACGGTTTTGCAGCGAGAACATTATGCTCTCCTTATTATAAGGCTAATTCTTGGAGAGCAGAATATGCTGAAACTATATTTCCTTTGTTGAATGAAGCTAAGTGAAAAGTTCCCGATGATATTCTCCTACTCAATATATTATTGTTACTAAAAGTTGAACTGCATAGTCCTGGACATCCACATACGTCTAGAATACCATCTACCGAAAAGTTTTCTCGATCGCGTGGGTACGACAGTTGTCGAGCAATAAAGCATACTTGTCAATATTGTACAAGTTAGATTCTCCTAAATGACAATTAGACTGATGTGTAATGATCTCGCAATTAAATGAAAATAATTACATTTATTTTATGATATTCAAAATTAAATAAACAACTAAATATACAATGTTTACATAAATTTTGCAATATGTACAATTATTTCATAATTAAAAAGAAATCAATGTACAATGCTTACATAAATTTTACAATATTTACAATTATTTCATAATTGAAAAAACAAATCAATAGACAATATTTAAGGATCACAATTAAATTCGTATAAATCACACGCTAACTTATTCCTCCAAATTAGTATCCATGATTGGCTAATTCTATTAAACTTTTATACTATACTCAAAAATTTAATATACTTTATGACGAACACGCCGTAATCGCCCTTGCAATTGAATAATAATGTATTAGTTCAATACCATGTAGCTAATTAAGTTTTAAAGATTAAAAAAATTACAAACATTTACAATATAAACTGTCTCCTCGTCGTCGTGTTCCGCACGATGACAGCATGTCCTGCACGGTCAACCTTGCTCGGCTAGTTATCAAAGGAACGATCACAGCCACCGATTTCATATTTTACTCGAGCAGACCCTAGGTCAAACATGAATGATCAGGATCGTATACATAGATAGTCGCATTAGGTAAAACGATCTCCACGGAAATGCAACGATGATTAGCGATCATTGGGACGTTCATATGCATACAACCCTCCATTGGCTTTCCGCAGACACTCAACAAGGTCCCTATAATCCACTTGAACATATATTCGGGCACCGTATACTCATTATCCATAAGTTGGAGTGGCTGATACTTAATGGTAACTGTACATACGAACTCAGCGTTCAATATAACGTGGTCGGGAATGTCAAATGATTTAGGATTTCTTTGAGCTCACTGGCGTAACAAGTCCATGGGAAGGCCAATGCACTACATCAAGAAACACCAATAAAAAAGGAGTTATTTCATTTAATAAATTGTGTATAAATAAAAAATAACAATATAACTACTTCACATATATCGTCGGCAAATCAAGTTCTCAAAGTGGTGATGTCATGTAACCACTTGTAAGCGTTAATGATCATCCTTCGAGCTATCCTGCGACTAGCTCTGAAAAAATAAACGGAGAAAATGTTAAAACAAGCATATAGGAATTAGCATACTTTTCTAAATTCTTACAATACTTAATCGGGAAAAATTCTTCTCTACTCCGTTTCGAACACTTTCCACTTGGAATAGTCTACCTCCTAAAAAGATTGTGTACATCCAGTCGATTAACCTCTTCTTCTTCGCCTCAGTTGTAAAGGAAGAAAACTACGTACTGTGATAACAATCTCGACCTCTTGTTGACCACCTGCTTTGGCACGTCAACAACGCACTTTTTATTCTCAGTCATGGTGGGCGTCTTCTCCTCTTTCGCCTTGAGGATCGCCACTTCCTCAAAGCTCGCCATTTCCTTTGCCCTAGAGACCACCATCTCCTCCTCCTCTACCTGTTCGAGGCTCGCTACCTTCTTTGCCTCAGAGATCGCCACCTCATTTGTCCTTCCCTTATTCGCTACTTCTTTCGTCCTTATCAAAGCCACCGACTCCTGCTCCACAAATAACAAAAATGATTCTAATGCATCGTCTGTCCACAACTTTGGATAACCTCTCTCTTCGTCACTCTCCTCGTCACCCATTACCTGCCTACTTTATCACCTCAGAGTACTGTGACCTCATCCTGAAGGTCTATTAAGTGGCCACATAGGACTCCAACATCGTAGGATAAATCGTTAACCCTTCATCTCAACTCTCGTTCCAGATCGTTGACCATTTCTACCAACTCTCATCCTAAATCGTCGACCTTTCCCATTAACTCTTATCGCAGAATGTCGACTTACTCCACTATAAATCCAACCAGGCAGGCATACAGTTTATCGAAATAATGACTCTGGCTATGTGCTTCTGATCCACGGGAGATGTGTCTGGATGGGAGAGAAGCAGATGCCCTCGATAGAGGTGATCGTCGATCAACTGAAACCGCGCTCTTACACAAATATGATCGGACAAATGGCCATCTTGAGTATGCGGAAGGGCTAATTCATATACAAGACCTTGACCCTCCTTTTCCATTGATGGCATCAAATCAGTTAAAACTTCAAGCTGATATATTGACATTTCAACTTGTTAATCATCATGTAATGAGATTTTTAAACTACGTAAAATATAAATCACAAATGTATAATACTCACATGAGAGTCATCGAGGAGAGTCAATAACTATTTGCCAGATGGACATCCGTCCGTTTGGAATGCTCGTCAATGATGCATCCGGAGGCAGCATATTTCCCGTCACCTTGCAAAACGGTACCCCATGAGGATAGTCTCATATGCTCAGATCTGCAACAGATGCAATCATTATATATAAATTTAGTATAAAAAAAATATTATAAGGTTGATTACGTTAAACATTTACTTGCACTGTTAGGGACAATCTAAAAGTATCGTACTATTGCATGGACCTCTTGGGTTTCGAGTGTGATCTGGGTGAAGACATGTAAGATGTCCTTAAAACACCTCCAACCCTATGGATAGTTGTTGAAGGTATCGATATCGTCGATGATCTCCAGATGAAAAAGGTCGATTACAGTCTTCTTGTAATGAGACCGCACAACGCTCTAGAAGATGTAGACCGGTCCTAACTTTAGCCTGTCTAACGTCTAATCGCACTCCCTAATTGTGCCAATTAGTTACGATAAAAGCATCGTCCCCTGTCTCTAGAAATAAGCGTCGTGTAACCTATCATCGTTGACCGACCTGAGTAGCTGACATAGTAGTGCATCGATGATCTACTCGAAATACTGTATTTTCCTCAATTGATATAGGGGCTAGAGCAAAGATTGATGTAAAATATTCTCGTGCTGATCATCCAACAGCTCTAGCAGTGTAGTGAAACTGTCAAAACTACTATTCTAAGTAACTTTCTACGACATCGATCTCAACTTCTCATTTAGATGGTATTCCATCCTATAAAAATTCAAATGTTAAAACATTAAACAATAGATAATGAAATAAAGCATAATCTCAGAAAATTAAGGAAACTGAATTGTAACTACTATATGCAAGATGTAGATTCATTTAACATCGATCTTTATTAAAAAAAAAATGAACTACGGACACCAAAAAAAAATTATCATAAAGTTTTTTATTTAAAATTGAAAAAATTAAAATTAAAATAAAAAGAAAAGAATTAAAAAAATTTAAATTGAACAAAAAATTATATTTATCATATAAAAAAAATATATTTTAAAACAATTTTCAAAAAACATTATAGTAAAAACAAAACAAATTAAACAATTTTGTTGCTATTTAATTCAATAGAAAAATATACAAGTCGATCAGCATCTCCATCCAAACTAGCACACCTGAAATACTAGAACCATCGCAGTAGTTAGATCCCGTTTCCGTCTACTACAGGGAAATAGAATGATCGCCAAACAGAAAATTTCAAAGATACAAAAAGATCACATATGTAGACTTTAAGGATCGCATATGCCAGCTTCAAATTTTTCTGTTGTCTCAGAAAAACCAAAATTAAAAGAACATTCTTCAATAACTTCAAAACTAAATGCAGTGTGTAAAGTAGTATCAGCAGCAGTAAATAAAGGAAATGAAAATTATATAGACCAATTAGCAATACTTGTACAGGTCCACGCACACATAATTTAATGTAGTGGGAGCTGATTCTCATTTATAAGGGACAAACAAGATATTCTGACATGTTAACAAGAGAAAAATATATAAGTATCAAAGAGCCAGTTAGTCCTACTTAAGCATGCAAATGGCACAAAAAAACAGAATTGTACTTTCTTTCATGAAGTATCACATTGAATGTATTAATTGGCAGACAATGGGGCACAGACCCCTTCTCTATCTTTGGAGGACAAGAACTGATATATGACCAATTCGAATCTACAACAGATGTGTGAATGGGAATGCAGTCACATTTAGTTTACACAAATAGGTGTACCTCAAAAACAATAGGTCCACGAATTTAATTTGAAATCAAGAATCAATAGGAAGACAGACTTGTCAAAAAGAAGGGGGGAAAAAAAGAATCGGCAGGAATCTCACCTAAACCCAACATCAGCAGGGCCAAAACCGCGTGGAATAATCTTTTCCTTTTGCACAAAGTCGGCACCAACACCCTCATTGAGTACACCATCACCACGATTACGAACATCGATGCTCAAATCACTCAACAATTTCTTCAAAATTTCTAGCTTTTCTCCACCCACACCATCTGCTCCATCAACAATTACTTTGTCATTCACATTGAAATTTCTGTTTCCTTTGGGAATATATTCCATCAAGCACCTGGCCAATTATATAAACATCCAAATGCATATTTGTAAACAATTTTATCTAGTAGGCCATGTAACTTGAAAAATGAGACTTCTTTAAACCTGATACTCACTAACCTGAAAGAAGTTGAAAGCTGGTCATAGTAATTGTTTTCAGATGCTTCCATGCCTTTGTTTCTAGAACGAACCATCCAATGCAGTTGAGGGGTTGTCATGACTCCCATATCAGTGGCATTGACTCCCATAATCGAAGTTATTCCCTTGAAGTGTTAACCAGCATAAGTACATCATTCATTTTACACAACAAAGACAAGAACCTAATTTATTTAAAAATAATAATAATAATAAATATACATACATATATATATATATATATAGAGAGAGAGAGAGAGAGAGGAGATAGAGGAGATAGAGCGAGAGAGAGAGAGAAAAGAAAAGGATTATTCTTATCTACAAAACTACAAATAAATCTCTGGCACTTGCAGGTCCCATGTCAGATGACTACAGGCACTAATTTTAAGATGAATCTTATGACATGAGATTGCTTCTCTTGAAGGATTATTATAAGTGCAAGAAAATTGCATCCAGGATATAAGTGTGTAAGAGAGAGCACTTTCAAATAGCTCCATGCTTTGAAGACGCAAAACTTTTAGCTCCAGATAGACTCAATACTCATATCAGACAATTCCTATGAATTAACATTATGATACTAAACACATAGATAAGGCAATGGCAGAAGTTAAGGGTACCCATACTTGTTTCGCAGCCTCAGCAAGAAATTCACCACTGGGCCTAGTGTCCCTTCCCAAAAGTACCTCTCCCTCAGAGGCTCCTTCAAGTGGGATCTTTTCCTTCTTCGCAAAATCATCTATCAACTGTTTCAATAGTCAAAAACTTCTTATTGTGAAGCAAAATTTACTGGCCAATAAAATTCTCTCAAAAAATGAAATTCACCAGAATCAATCATCATAAATGAAACTTCATTCATGTTCAAAATGTCCTAATGGTGTTCCATCCTAATGGTGTTCCAAACCATAAATGTGAACATATATTGTGCCATGTCAGACATGTCGAATACCAACAGGCCTACACGCGTGTGTGAAAACATATTTAACTATAAAATATTGCCAATATATAAACATGGCTCAAAGACATCTCGATCAGTAATGGATACCTTTAAGATACTTATCTATATAAGGGATGTAAATATGCCAAGCCGAGCTGGCCCATGCTCACTATGGGGGGGCTCACTGGGCAAAGTGCCCACCAAGAGCCAAACCACTAGCCTTTTTTTTTTTTTTTTTAATTGAAAAAACAAAAAATCAAAAATTTGAAATTCAACTGCCTGAATTCGACATGATAGCACCTGGCACTTCATGTCATGCACCTATGGCTTCAAAAATCAGCCTATAGGCTGAAAAAGTCATTTAAAGGCCCTAGCTGAGCTACGCGAACCAAATAGCTAGCCTTGCAACTGGCTCACATGCGAAAATCAAGGCTCAACTTACCCCACGACTCACTTCAGAGAGAGCTGACGAAAGGCCCACCACATTTCCCAATTCTATCTATATTACTAAGAGTCAAACATAAGTTTGACTTTACAAGACTTTGTGTATATGTAAAATAGTATTTACTATAAATGAGTAACTAAAAATTAGCTTAAAATCCCATCAAGAGAAATTATCTTTACTACCGTGACTATCATAAGCTATATTCACAAATTATGCACAAAGGGAATGAAAGCCAAACATTTTTTTTTCCATTTGTGCATAAGTACAGATCTCCTCCTATCTTTCGCCAATTTTTTTCTCACACTGCAAGTGTTAAAACAAGTATTTCTAAAAACATATAAGATAGCAAATAACTAAAAATGCAACCTTTTAGGAAACACAACTTCATTAGTGCTGAAGTATGTATACCTGGAGAAGGGTATTGGGATCCCCTGCATTGGAAAGGGTGTCAGCAAAGGGTTCCCAGTGTTGCGAGAGCATTCCGCCCGAGGGGTCTGCCACTTTAACGCCATTATCCGAAGCCTGGTTATGGGAGGCCGTGATCATGAGGCCAACAACTGACCGAGTCTGTACAGACCTCAATGCCGCCAATATCCCTACTCGGAACACCGTCGACTCAAGCAGCGACGCATCGGCCCGGAACCCCGCGGTACCATAAGACAGCTTCACCCCTAAATCAAAATGCAGAACATAGAAAATCAAGAACTAATTTCAAACTGCTTCTACCCAAAATCAACGAATAATTTAGACTTCTGGGAGTGATTCAATCAGATTTGAAAGGGAAAAGTAATACTGTAATATATTGTTGTACCTGGTGGTAGGGGGAAGCAAGAAGCGGAGTGGAGAAGGATCGATCGTTGTTGTTCATTCATTTGCTTCCTAGTTTGATTTACGTCAAGTTTTATATACGGACGAACCTTGGGACTGGCTGAGAAATGGGACGAAGTACAGGAAGGGGAAAGGGTGCCGGAGGGATGTTGGGGAATTGTCCCCCTATTGACTGGGCCACGTCCATCTAATTAGGTTCGTTAATTTTAAATCGTCACTTTTTCCTTGGAACAAATAGCAATATTTTTAACCGCCAGGCACATCCCAACTAGTAAAGATGAGAACGCTTCAAGGTTGACAGTTTAGAGATCGTGGGTTCGATTCTTGAAAGGCAGATATTCTCCTGGAGGCAGGAACTCTACTGGAAGATAAGGTGCAAAAATAGAAAAACGACTTGTTTGGCACTTTGACGGATCAGTGGGGGCTCTTGAACATTGATCAGTTTGGGACACAACCTGCGATTTAACCTATCTGCAATTTGAGGGGTCAAAGTGTAGACTCCAGAATTTAGTCACTATAAGATGGACGCCTAAAAATATCAAAAAATAATAATAATAAAATAAAATAGCAATATTTTTATCTCCAAAAAATGAATTCTCCCTTCATGTAATATTTTAATATATTATGGATATGGATATCTCAAAGTTGCGTTAAAAAAATTTTGAGTTATTATTGAACTTTCTCAAACATTTTTAAGTAATGTTAAATTTTCAACAGTCTAAAATCATCATTCAACTTATTAAGATTTTATTTCATTCGTGGTTTTATCCCTCATCATTTTAAAGTTAACGGACTAGAAAACTTTAAAATGATAAATAAAATAACATTTTAGTAAATTAGTGACGACTTGAATAACTTGAAAAGTTTGATGGTAACTCGAAAGTGTTTAATGACACTTGGAGAACTTTTAAAGTTAGATGATACGTGAGAATCGTTTAAGAAAATATAATTATAAATGAAATATTATACCTTCAAAGTACAACCATTTTTTCGTTCTTGTCTTGTCCTTAATTTTCCATTTAATTTTTTCGTTACTATCTTATTTTCATGAATTAGTTCACCAATTTTCGTCTTTAACTCTAACGTGCACATGATTTTTTAGTAGAAAGCAAAATTGTGAGGCATTTAAAATTTACATTAACTGTGCTTCACGTAATTGTATGTGCCAAGGGCAGTTGGCCCCGCGATAGGTGGGGGAGAATACAGGTGTACGTGTGAGTACTTTTAAAAAAGGTTCGATCAAACTATTCAATTTTCACCTTTACTTTTTAATAATTGAATGTTTGTACAATGGCCTTTTGGATAATAAAAGACAAAGATGCCATGTTTGAAAGATAATACTATCATTTTTAGTTAACAAGTGAAAATTTCTTTTCACATAAATTTTTGAAATCAGATGATTTTCTTATCTGTTTATTCCAACACTGATAAAAACTTTCTCATCTTCCATCTTCTTCAACTTCAACATCTGAGAATTTTTCAAATGCTGAAGAGGAAAATATTTTTTATATCAATCATTTCGAATCAGTAATTATATTTACGTATTTTTATTTCGTTTTCGTTAAATTAATATACATTTTTAATCGATAAATCTTATTTCGATATAGATTAAAATGTAGATAAATATTTTAATAGATATAGAATTTTTTAAGCATGAATAAAAAATCATTTGCGTAATGAATTTTTTTAGGCCAGAGCACAACACAGCCAATCGTTACAGTCTGATACAGCCAGCTATAATTTTTTTCATAAATTTATGTTGCCACTATGGTTCAGCTGAATTTCTGACTATTTTTTCTTATAATTAAAAACTCTGTTTTGTCATACAGATATGGTTATAGTCTCGATTTGTTACTTTGGTAATTTCGAATTAAATGAAAAGGATAATGAATGTGGAAATGGACGAGTGACATACTTGGTAGTATTCCAATTTCCATAACAAAGAGTACATCGTACGCAGGAATGTACCATGACTTGCAAAATAAACTGAATGTCGATTCCTCTTAGTGTGATATGCAACTGATATTTCTATTCAACAAGCATTCATCTATTCTGATTCCACCTATGAAGGTTACTTGCTTGCTTTTTATGCGAAAGTGAATTATCTATTTGAATTGAACAAAATGCACACAACTCCTCTTTGTATTACTTTATTGAAGAAGGATGTCATCAAAAGTAAACACGAAGATTCAAATGGAGCGAATGACAATGTCAATGGTTTTTGGGACACAATGGAGATAGTTTGCGAGGATAATATGGTTATTCCCGAAACAGTTATTCCTCATTGTAATCTCACTATTACGCACGGAATTTCGTCGGTAGTTCACGACAACAAGAATGAAAATGAATTTACAAATGAGGATTTGATTACTTTATCTCGTCAAAGACATGAGCGGTGTGGGAGCTCAGTGGTTGGATCGAGTGGACTCCCTGTAAGCGACTAAAATGGACACGAATAAGTTATTTGTGGTTCACAAGTATACATTTGCAAAGTGGGAATTTCTCAAAACAATCACAGCAAATTCGAGCGTGGTTTATTGGTCACAGATAATGCACAAGTATCAAGGTCCACGAATGATCTACAAACCTTCAAATATCATTAACAACGTCCATGTCGAGAGTATGGAGGGGTCATAAGCTATTAAAAGGCCTGGAAAAGCCAAAGAATGGTTGTTGGAGGATGTAATGAGCTCGACTGATGAGAGTTATGCTAAATTGGCAAGAGGTTGCCATAACATGAGAAAACTAATCCTAACTTGATATTTTTTATTGAGATATAGGATATCGATATAACATAATGACGTCAAATAACGTAGAGGCTCTCAGTGTATTGTTCAAGAATGATTGAGAGTTACCAATTCTCGAATGACTGAAAATATTCGTAACAAGCTACAACAGTGATTTCACGATTGATGTGCAGATTCACAGAGTCGCACAAGTATGTTAGCCCCCGACTTAAAACGATAAATTCTTCAAGCTGTAGAGGATGCGAGAAAATTGAATGTAAAACCACTAGATGACTTCTGCTTCTCCGTAAAACGTGCATGTAATACAGTATACATGGTAGACTTAACTATAAGACATGTACATGTAGTCGATTTCAGTTGGATAGTTTTTCATATGAGCATGCAATCGCGGTAGCTATGTATCACGGTTTTGCAGCGAGAACATTATGCTCTCCTTATTATAAGGCTAATTCTTGGAGAGCAGAATATGCTGAAACTATATTTCCTTTGTTGAATGAAGCTAAGTGAAAAGTTCCCGATGATATTCTCCTACTCAATATATTATTGTTACTAAAAGTTGAACTGCATAGTCCTGGACATCCACATACGTCTAGAATACCATCTACCGAAAAGTTTTCTCGATCGCGTGGGTACGACAGTTGTCGAGCAATAAAGCATACTTGTCAATATTGTACAAGTTAGATTCTCCTAAATGACAATTAGACTGATGTGTAATGATCTCGCAATTAAATGAAAATAATTACATTTATTTTATGATATTCAAAATTAAATAAACAACTAAATATACAATGTTTACATAAATTTTGCAATATGTACAATTATTTCATAATTAAAAAGAAATCAATGTACAATGCTTACATAAATTTTACAATATTTACAATTATTTCATAATTGAAAAAACAAATCAATAGACAATATTTAAGGATCACAATTAAATTCGTATAAATCACACGCTAACTTATTCCTCCAAATTAGTATCCATGATTGGCTAATTCTATTAAACTTTTATACTATACTCAAAAATTTAATATACTTTATGACGAACACGCCGTAATCGCCCTTGCAATTGAATAATAATGTATTAGTTCAATACCATGTAGCTAATTAAGTTTTAAAGATTAAAAAAATTACAAACATTTACAATATAAACTGTCTCCTCGTCGTCGTGTTCCGCACGATGACAGCATGTCCTGCACGGTCAACCTTGCTCGGCTAGTTATCAAAGGAACGATCACAGCCACCGATTTCATATTTTACTCGAGCAGACCCTAGGTCAAACATGAATGATCAGGATCGTATACATAGATAGTCGCATTAGGTAAAACGATCTCCACGGAAATGCAACGATGATTAGCGATCATTGGGACGTTCATATGCATACAACCCTCCATTGGCTTTCCGCAGACACTCAACAAGGTCCCTATAATCCACTTGAACATATATTCGGGCACCGTATACTCATTATCCATAAGTTGGAGTGGCTGATACTTAATGGTAACTGTACATACGAACTCAGCGTTCAATATAACGTGGTCGGGAATGTCAAATGATTTAGGATTTCTTTGAGCTCGCTGGCGTAACAAGTCCATGGGAAGGCCAATGCACTACATCAAGAAACACCAATAAAAAAGGAGTTATTTCATTTAATAAATTGTGTATAAATAAAAAATAACAACATAACTACTTCACATATATCGTCGGCAAATCAAGTTCTCAAAGTGGTGATGTCATGTAACCACTTGTAAGCGTTAATGATCATCCTTCGAGCTATCCTGCGACTAGCTCTGAAAAAATAAACGGAGAAAATGTTAAAACAAGCATATAGGAATTAGCATACTTTTCTAAATTCTTACAATACTTAATCGGGAAAAATTCTTCTCTACTCCGTTTCGAACACTTTCCACTTGGAATAGTCTACCTCCTAAAAAGATTGTGTACATCCAGTCGATTAACCTCTTCTTCTTCGCCTCAGTTGTAAAGGAAGAAAACTACGTACTGTGATAACAATCTCGACCTCTTGTTGACCACCTGCTTTGACACATCAACAACGCACTTTTTATTCTCAGTCATGGTGGGCGTCTTCTCCTCTTTCGCCTTGAGGATCGCCACTTCCTCAAAGCTCGCCATTTCCTTTGCCCTAGAGACCACCATCTCCTCCTCCTCTACCTGTTCGAGGCTCGCTACCTTCTTTGCCTCAGAGATCGCCACCTCATTTGTCCTTCCCTTATTCGCTACTTCTTTCGTCCTTATCAAAGCCACCGACTCCTGCTCCACAAATAACAAAAATGATTCTAATGCATCGTCTGTCCACAACTTTGGATAACCTCTCTCTTCGTCGCTCTCCTCGTCACCCATTACCTGCCTACTTTATCACCTCAGAGTACTGTGACCTCATCCTGAAGGTCTATTAAGTGGCCACATAGGACTCCAACATC